GGGCACCCCTCTCAGAGGCGGCCCCTGCAAGGTCTGTGCTGGGATCCAAGTCCCCTGGAAGGGAAGGAGCTCCTGAAACATTGAGCTGAAGACACTTCTTCGCAAATCTCCAGTTTAAAAAATGACTTTTGTTATTTTTGAACTTGAACAAGCCACCCGTATCTAAGCTCTGGACGCCACTACCATTGCCCTATGCAATTATGTTTATCTTCTCTCATCCTCAGAACAATCTGGGAAAAGAGCTCTGTCAGTTATTTAATGCTATATAGCAAACTATTCCAAAACTTAGTCATGTAAAACAGTCACCATTTATTCTCCGAGGTCTGGCCTAGACTGGGCAGTTCTTCAGCTCCGTGTGGCCGAATGCAGCAGAGGCTCAGTGGGCTGCCTCAGTTCTCCTGCAGAAGCCTCCCTTTCTCCTCCTCCAGGGCTTCTCCACGTGGCCTTCCTCTCCAGTAGAATAGTCTGGACTTCCTTAAAGCACAGCGGCTCAGTTCCAAGAGGGGAGGGTTCCAAGAGGCCAATGTACAAATGCTTGTGAAGGACCTGCTTGGTTCATACTTACTAACGGCCCATTTGGCCAGAGCAAGCCACAAAGCTAAGCCCAGAGTCAATGAGTATGTGGGAACTTAACATGGGTGAACATCATGGAACTCACTAGGGCTCACCAATGCAGTGACTCAGTATCATTTACCCTTGGGCTTTAGCAGGCAAGGGCACTGAGGCTCAGGTTCATCCAGTTCATCCGAGGTTATTTTGCATAGCCAAGGGCAAAGGGTCAAGGTCTGTTGACTCCAGGGAACATATTCTTTAATTGGGTCACCCTGATAATGGAGGGGGCACAGTCTGAGAGGGACAGGGACCAGGATTCCAGTGTAAGTGACAATTAAGTGCCAGCCCTCTTTAACCCAGAGAACAGCCCAGCAGATGTCCTGGCCACCTGGTGAGTGCTTTCCTGGATGCTTCCACCCAACCAATCAGAACTAAGGTCTGTGTGAGGGCACAGGCTGTGTGGGGAGGCACTAGAACATGTTCTAGGCCACAGTCCAAATTTTCAGTGTGGCCTGTTGGTCCCTCTCCTTGACTCCAGGATACCCTCTCCCTTACTGGCTTGATTATCATTTCATGGGTCCTTAATGATTCTGTGATGTCCTCCCACTTTTTCAAAACTAGCTGATGTTTCCTATGAAATGAAGAGCCCTCCTGGACACCATAGCTCTTGTGCACCCCTGACTTCAACACCTACCACATGGGGCTGTGACCACTGAGACTCCCTTATCTGATCTTCTCTGTGGAGATCTTTGTAGGAGCAGGGGTCTTTAAGATCCATCTCTGGCTCCCAGCACTCACACTAGCAAGAGCTGGACTGAACTCGATGCTCTTCCTCCTGAGGGATGCTCAGAATCTTAACACAGTGCCCCAGTTTTTCCTTGGAGCCCTGAAAAAACTAACAAACATCTGTTGGGCACCTGGCAGGTGCCCTGCCCCAAACTAGGAAATAAGGGGTTGCTAAGTCATGCCCTGCTACGTTCTGGCCCAAGTTCTTTTCCTCATTAGCTGAGTGACACTGAGAAATTTACTTAACCTCTCTGAGTTCAGCTTGCCCTGATGCCTAGTGCAGATGAGAATAATCTCTGTTCTTCCCAACTCATTCAGGGTCAGAACTCAACAGGAGCTTGGAGTTGAAAAAGTGACTCCTTGGAGATGAACATAGTATATGTGTGTGAAGGACCCTCCTCTTTAAGCAGTCTGATTTCCAAGGGCTCTAAGATAGGACTTTCTATACCCATAGATCTCCCTGTCTCCTTCCACCAATCATGATATCTGAATTCTGCTATCTCTTCTTCTTTTGAGCAAATGTGTTATTGTTATTTAAATCCAAAAGACTCCTGTTAAAAGATACCAAATGATCTGGAAAGATCACATTAACCCAGGAGCAAAAGTTTTCTCTACCATTCATGAACATCTTTCATACGCATTCTCCAGCACTGGTGTTGAAAGGAAAAACCAGTCTGAGCTTTCTGGTGACCATCCTAGAAATATTTATCAAAGGCCTTAAAAAGATGTACACTCATGGATGCAATGAGTCCTCCTCTGGAAACTTATTCTAAGGAAACAATGTGTTCTGAAGTAGGTATACAAGGAAACCTTATTTATAAGCGGCACGGAATTATAAATAATCTAAATGTCCAAGAATAGGTAATTGGCTAAATGATGGTATGTACATTCAGGCCTCTGCCCAATGCCGTCACCAGGGCCCCATTTTTTAGTTAATGCTCTGCTGTTGCCATCTTAAATTTTTAAATTATATTACAAAATTTTTGTACACAAAGTTTCATAGCTGCTTTATTTTAAATTCTCAACTGGAAAAAATATGTATTCTATTTGCAGGTGAATGGTTATAAACAAAATATGGCACAGCAATATAATGGAATTCTATTTAGTTATAAGTAGAAGCAAACTACTATATATCAGTGTGGATGAATCTCAAAATCAGTATTCTAAGTAATGAAGGCAAACACAAGAGATTACATCGTAAATGATTCCATGTAAATGGAATCTCCAGAAAAGGCAAATTTATGAATTCACAAAGCAGGTCAGCAAATTTTGTTTTTTAAATGAGTCCCTCATTTCCATTTTGTACTGGGCCTCATAGATGATACAACCATTTCCTAAATATCATGTAACAATTAAAATAATGCTTATGGGGAATATTTGCTGAAGAGGAAAAGTCTATTAAATGAAGAAACCATGGTACAAAACCATAAATGATGTAATCCTGGTTGTTTGCAAACAGAAATATATGTTTTATATATTCTTATATTAATAAGAATATGCATTAGAATATATATTAGAATATATTAATATATTCCTAGAAAAAAAAGACTGGTTGGAAATACACCAGAATGTTACAGGAATTACCTCTGCAGAAGCAGATTACAGGTATTCTTTTGATGACTCTCTTCCTTGTGCTTGTTTGCATTTCCCGGTGTAAGAAGGTGTGAGTATTCCCACTGACTAATATTTCTTTTAGAGGCAGAAGAAGGATGTAATGAGAAACAGCTATTCTCTCTAGGCTTCTGATTGAGTCGGAGTTCATAGTCTGCATAGTAACCTTCTGTTTAAACACATGAAGAGAAATTCCACTGATAAGGAAGTAGAGTTTTCTTACAAGCTCCTTAGAATCAAGGACTGTCTGATCTCTGGGTCCTCCGGCTTGCCATGCATGAAGCCCCAGTGAATGGGCCTCTTGTCCTGCGGCTTGAGGTCATTCCTGGTCTTTACCAGTGTCCAAGTTCTCCTGTGCCCTGTCCTTGGAACAGGGTGCAGGAGCAGAGGCTGGGCTTACTCCTGTGTAAAACCAGGGGTACGCACAGCCACTTCACCAGCCTCCCTTGTGATTGCTTCATTCCGACAGCAGAGGGCAGGAGTGATCAGTAAGTCCAGGAAGGAGATGGTTGTTGCAGGACGAGTGAAGGTGGGCCTCTGTAGGAAGATTTCCCACTATACCCATTTGTCAGTTTTCTCCTTCTCTCCTAAATCCCTACCAGGCCCTTGCTGACTGTCCTGACACAATTGAGCATGTCCAGAAACACAAGAATCCTAGAACTTTACTTCTGTAAAGTCAAGGCCTCTGACTTGATGGCCTCCCACCCCTCGCAGGACAGATAGGAACACTGGGGCCCAGAGGAGGCATGGACTTGCCGAAAGTCCAATTACAGTATACAAAGGGCAAACAGAGCTGCTACTCATGACAGTGGGGAGGCAGGGTTCACAATGTGGAATAGCACCCCATGAAAAGGAGGTTCAGAGGAAGTGGGCAGCCTTGAGAATGAGAGACCCCTGCGCCTGCCCACCAGCCCCCGTCTAGACCTTTGAGTCCTATATTTCTGTAGCTGAAATAAGATGGAAGTCTCCTATGAGTCCAGGCTGGCCTCCTGCCCTCCTTCCGCCCTTCAGAGCACCAGCACCTGGCACGACAGTGTTCTCAGGGCAGCAGTGAAGGCACAGGGGTGGCATGGGGTGGGACCCCAGCAGGGCAGCAAGATCTTCCTCCCACGGTTCCCCGAATAGCTTCCTGACCCTGCATTGTGCTGTCCACCTCTGTGCCTTTGTCTCGTGGGGGCCCTCTGAGAAACCCTCTCCCCAAGTGTCCTTTCCTTTCTTTCAACTCCATTGTCCTGTCCTTCTAGTCCCAGCCCTGGTGCCGCCTCCTCTCTCCTCCTCCACCCCACCCTTCGCTGACCCTACCTGGGTTCTTGCAGCCTCTGATCTGTAACACTGGTGACACTGGGCACCTAGGGAAGCAGTAGGGGCCAGAGGGGAGAGGGACAGATCTGTGTTCTGATCACTGACCCTCACCATTGACCACCCAGGCGAGATTGGCAAGTCCTTTAACCTGACCTGTGAAAGGAAGTGCTGACCCACGCTCTAAATGCACAGTGCTGAGGATTCGGAGATGGCACAGGGAATGCCACAGAGCAGCCGTTATACCTATAGTTGGTTATTTATAACTATAGCTATTCTATATAAGATGAAAAGCATCTTGAGGGCAAGGGTAGAGTCTGTCCCAAGACCTAATGAAGGTTGAAACTATAGATGAATGAATGAATGAAATGCCTGGGGATGGGCAGGGTACTCTGCCCATCAGCAAGATGCAGAACAGTCTCCCTCACCCAGGCCACATAGGAGCCCAGCCCTCAGAATCCCCTTTTCCCCACCCACCCAGCCCCGTTCTCAACCCTTGCATTGAGAGTCCCGCCCCATGGCTTTTTCTCTCATAATTAGCCTTTTCAATGAAATTTATGATGGTTTTGTAAAATTTAAAGCTAATTTGCACACTTTAATAACAGACGATGCACAGGGAGTATTTAGCTGCAAATATCCTATAATGAAATTGACATCCTGGATTATCAGGGATGGAGCTATCCCTCCCCCAGCCCCAGAGGCTGCTTGCTCAGAACTCACAATCGTTTTTTTTTTTTTTTTTTGCTTGGCAGACCACAGTGAGCTGGGAAGGGGACAAGCTCCAGTGTGTGCAAAAGGGTGAGAAGGAAGGACGCGGTTGGACCCAGTGGATTGAGGGTGACGAGCTGCACCTGGTAGGTTCCCGGCCAAGGGGTGGTGAAAAGAAGGGGGCCAGGTCAGGCCAGGCTGGGCCCCAGAGACCCTGGTCACTGCTGGGTGGATCTTGGAAAAAGGTCTATGGTAGCTCCTTGGTTCTGCTCTGAAGCTTCTCTTCCAAGGGCCTGGAGAAGACTTGAATAACTTTAGAAACTGAGCATGTGTTTTCAAGGTCGAAGCTGACCCAGTTGTCCAAGGTGAGGAGGTGAGGAGGTACATCTGTTGAATGCCAGGGCCGGTGCTGAACTCTTTTGCATCTCATATCTCTTTCTCTTCTCTCAGCAACCCTGGGGGCCCGGCACGGTATAATTCCTATTTTGGAGATGAAGACATGGAGGTTCACACCCAAGTTCCACACCTGGAAAGTGGCAGGTGTGGAATTTGCTCCCAAGCAATGTTTCTTTTCACCATACCAGATTGTGGCAGGCCACAACCAAGGAGAATTCTCTAAGTTTCTCTAACACATGACCTCAACGATGTAGGTCAGGGTAGGAGATGCCTTTGTCAGTGCTGGGTTAGGTTCCCACAGTCTGAAGCCTCTAGTCAAAGCCACTTCTATTCCACCCATCACCCAGAGAAAGCACTTACAGATCTAGAGGTGGGCCCTGAGCCCCAGGGCGGGTTCAGTAACCCAAGACCTCTGAGAAAAGACCTTCCACCACTCCTGTTGCCCCTTGGAAATCCCCAGTTACCATTCTTCTGAGAAGGGAACCTGGCTCAGATAACTTGGACTCTAGTCCCAATTCACTCAGTGGGCCTTTGGATCAGTGCCTCCCTTCCCTCAGCCTCAGCAGCAAAATGCTGCCTTACTACCGCAGGGTTCTGAAGATCAAGGTCTGTAAGAGCTTTGAGACTTGCCAGTGGTGAGAAGAGACACAAGGGGCATCTTTCTAATTGGCAGCTTAGGCTGATGCTATGGGCTGGGGCTGCACGCCCACCGGAAGCCAACTAGTCTCCTCCCCTGGTGGCTGTTCCCTTGTCTGTCAAGCTGTGAGGGAAGATTAAGCAATCCCCACCAACCCTTCAGTCCGATAATTGTGTGTCCTGTGCTTCCATGCAAACTTGGGGCTGCAGCCTCTTTTATTTGGCCATCAAGTGGGCTTGAAACTTCTTTAGATAGCACTTCACAAACTTGGAAATGTCATGTCAGTACAGTTAACCCTTGAACAATGTAGGGTTAAAAATCGAGGTTAATTTAGTCTGCCCTCCATATAGGCAGGTCTGCATCTGGGAGTTTGACCAACCTTGTCTGGGAGTTAGACCAACCTTTCTATCTGTGAATGCAAAACTCACAGATAGAAACAAAGTCCATGTATATATGGACCTCCAAAGTGCAGGCCGGTGCTTAGGGTCAGATTTTTGTTTTCAAGAAAACAAAAATAGGAAGGTGGTGCAACTCTGTGCTGTGTCCTCAGGCAACAGTCAGCGGGGCTGCCCTGTGGGCATGGAAGGGGCTGGCCACTGCATTGTCATGCTCCCTGAGAGCATTTAATAACTGCAATTCCAGTGCTTCATCCACTGAAATATTGACGCACATTAGCCTGGGACCTAGGCATTTTTCAAACTCCCGGGTAGTTCCAAAGTGCAGCTAAAGCTGAGAATCACACTAGTTTGCATCCCTTTGTGAGGCAACCTATTGAATTCCTCCAGGTCCAAGCCTTGTGCCTGGGACTGATTTTGGCCATGACTGGGCACAGACTCAGCCCCCAGCTGAGGTCAGAGGTTCTTAAAACCTTTTGTTCCCTTGATGATGGAAGAGGAGAAGCCTCTGAGGGTCTATGGGTCAGCTCTGAGCCATACCTGCTTCCCAGCCAGCTCCCCACAGGGCACAGCAGAGTCTGATTCCAAGATCCAGTTTAACCAGCTTTCCAAGGAATTGGTGGGGGGTTCAAACCACCTCCCTACCCCAGGATGCACTAAGTTCCAAGTGTGATCATGTCTTGGCCAATGAAAAGCATCTATTTTTGTTTCAGGAGATGAGAGCGCAGGGTGTGGTCTGCAAGCAAGTATTCAAGAAGGTTCACTGAAACCCCCAGGTGACAGGCAGGCCCTGGGCTCCCGGAATGAATGCATGGATGTGTGGGCCAGGACCCCCAGAGTACAGCATGGGACAGAAAGTCCAGCACCCTCCAACTTCCCCACCCCCTTCTAGGCACCTGTGAGCAGTATGCCTCAGCTTTTTCTCTTTCTCTTCTTAAAAACCATTCCAATAAAAACAACCTCCACTTAAGACCTGTGTTTTGCAGAAGTTTCAAAACCCCTTGGCTCCCTTTTTTACTGGAGCTTCCAGATTCATTTTTTCTCGATGCCACCCCTGGGAACAGGGAAAAAGTCAGCCACACTCCTACAGATTTGGTCCTGAGGTTGTACCACTAGGTCTTTCCTCAGAGGCATAGGGTTGAATCCTGCATATGTGGACTGGCATCAATTGGCTGTGTATTAAGGACCAACCACATCACATGTCATTCAGGGTCAAAGTTTCTGGAGTGTCACAGACCACAAATGCAGGAGAGGATAACCTCTGCCCTGGGAACTTGCAGCCTAGTTAAAGGGACCCAACTAACAGAGATCTCTAACTCTGTAGTGCACAGCTAGGAGACACCCTATAATTTATTTGTGAATGAAAGAGAACTAGATAGAATTTTAAGCCCAATGTTAGAATGAGATGAGCCTTATCAAAGGCAATTACCAACTGGATTTGATTTCAAAGAAGTCAGAAAGACATGCTTCACTACGCCAGCTCATCTATCAGCTGATATAACAGCCTGCCTTCTCACTGGTAAGAGATGAGGCATAACTTGCAAATCCTCCTAGAAGAGGGAGAACATCCTGTTCATACTAAACTGTAAGTGATTGCCCACTGTGCCTTTGCATTGAAGGAACACGGGGAAACCACAGAGTGAGGAAAGGAGGTGAGAGATCACAGATATGGGAAAGCCACTGGAACAGGGAAGACTCACATCAAGACCCCAAATGAACATCAAGACTGCCTGGGCTGCATCCTGCCTTTTGGAAAGAGCCCTAGTCTTACAAGTAGAGTTTGAGTCCCAACTCAACCACTTACAGGACAACACCGACCCCACCCTAACCTGACCTCATTTTTCCAATCATAGGCCACAATAATCCACTTCACCTCCCACACAGGTAAGTTGTGAAGCTTGTAGTGTATATTAAGCTTGTTGAGTGCCAAATGCCAGTTAGTGGCTGGTCTCCAGACCAATGACCCCAGCATATCTCACAGTGGGGCCCAAGCATACGTATTGTTATAAAACCCCCAGGTGATTCTGGTAAGCCACTGGAGTTGAGACTCACTCTCTAGAAACACTGGTTCTAGGAAATATTTCCCAGAAGTTATTCAGCCCCACCCAGGGGAATTTGGCAAGTTCTGGAGACAAACTTAATTTCACAATTTGGGAGGGAGGCACTACTGGCATCTCTTGAGCAGCGTCCAAGTATCTGCCAGATATCCTGCAATGCACAGGATAGTTCCCCACAGCAAAGGATTATCCAGCACTGTGTGTCAGCAGCGACAAGAGCAAGAAACCTGCCCTAGATAAGTATGAGAAATATTTGATATCTTTTATTATCCAGGTCATTTCCCCAGCTAAACCAAGGAAATAAAAGCCCAGACTTGCCAAAGACTGCAGCAATCCCTTTGCTTTTGCCACTCTGGTCTCTGTTCTGGGAATAGAAAAATCCAAGGTGAAGATTCTTGTGATGACCATCCATTCATTCATTACACAAATGCTTAAGAAGGCCTTATGTATGCCAGGCACTGAGCTAGTATCCTATCTGCTGGGCACCTAGGAGTTACCATCCCATTTCAGGTATTGAAACTCCCATCAGACTTCTTTCTCCATTACTCACCCAACATTTAGGTTCTCAGGGGGAAGTTCAAAGGTGTAGCATCATTGGTGTGAGTGCATGTCATATAGGAGGGAAGCCCCACTCTTGGGAGCCTTTGCCCTGTGGGGAGATTCAGGACCTATTTCAGTGGACAATGGGAGCCACAGAAAACTTTGAGCAGGGGAGTGGCATCATCAGTCTCTCAGCAAAACTATTCTGGCAACAACTGTCTCTAGAAAGAAGAGGAAAGAGTGAGCAGGAGCTTTGCACAGAGTGGTCACATTGAATGCAAACTTCACTTCAAATGAGACATATTCCCCAAAACCCGTGAAGTGAGAGGCATGCTTCTTATGCATAATCTCCAGCCACAGAAGCAGCTGTAACTTCAGTGCTGCTTTCCATTTTCTCATCTTGTGCCAGGGGGATTAGCAAGCACCACCTCCAATCCTTGGCAGAGGGCCTGCTCCTAGATTGGCAGCAGCCTGTGTGATGGTGCTTGTTCCGTCTTCTCAGTGGTTCTTTAGCTCCTCTCACTTCCAGCCCAAAGCTATCTACGTGAGGCCCATTTTTGGAACATTACCACAAGCCTTGCCACTTAACCAATATTCAAATGCCTTGTTGTAGGAGATAAGGAAGATTTACATTCTAATAGCAGCAGGCACTAGGACTGGGATCACTTACTGAATTTCCAAGCAGGGCACAAGCACTCTGATGCCCTAAGACTGACACAGGATAGGTGTGCATTTACCAGCCCTCCTGGTATCACCAGGCTGTGGAAGACATGTCATATACCTCACAATTTCTTGGGCCTGTCAACTTGGAAAATTTTTCTCCACATTTTTGAACCGGAGGGTTACAATATTTCAAAAGATGCTCTATGTGATAATTTACTAATATGTTTACATCACACAACTTCAAATTGTCATTAGAAGTAACTGAGGCAGGAGGTGCTGAGGCAAAGGTGGGCTCTCACTGAGGAGAGGCAGCAGGGTGAGGCCTCTGAGTGTTAAAGCTCTGGAGCCACATGGGCTGGATTCAAATCCCAACTCTGCTGTTTCTTCACTCGATGAGATTAAAGCAAGTTATACAATCTCTCTGTGCCTCCGTTTGCTCATCTATAAATTAGAACTCACAATTCCTCATAGAGTTTTTGTGAGGACTAATCTAATACATATAAATAACTTAGAATATATTGGGGCCTCCCTGGTGGTGCCAAGGGTTAAGACACAGTACTTCAATCCCTGGCTAGGGAGGTGACCCACATGGCACTGCAGACCTCTCTTGACTCCCCTCAGCAGTGTATTTCAGTCAATCCACCTGTTCTGTTCCCCACTTTGTCTCTGGTGAGTCCTCTCACCGCCCCCCCCCACACACCTCTGGCCTGTACCCCAGTTCTTATATGCATAAATAAATAAATCTTTTTAAAAAAGAATAGATATGAATTTTACTTGCTCAGAGCTTTGAACAGTGCTGGCTTAAAATACATGGTTCTAAAAAAACAAAAACAGAGGTCTGAGAGGCACTCAGGGTGGGATAAACGTGACTTCATCACTGACACAGTATAGGTGACAGGATGCCAGGAGGAGCAAATCTGGGGGTATTTATCAGAAACTAGGAGGTGTGGCCCTGCTGGGGCAGGAAGCCCTCAGACCACCTCAGCTGCAGGGGGAGAAGCCAAAGCAAGGCCTCTCTCACCTCCAGGGATTCAAACCCAGGTACAGGTTGTTTCCCCCTTCCCCCCCCCCGCCCTCCCCCACACACTACTGACTGGGAGCCTAGTGTTCCTGAGCTACAGACATGGGCTCGCAGAAGGATCGACTTCAGACACTGAACCCCCAAGGCTCCCAAAATGTCATTCTCTGGGCAGCTTCCAGCAAATACCTTCCCACAAGAAAATCCTGACAAGGTGAACCCCAAGGATCTCTCTGAAAGCCCTAATTTATAACCTCTGTCTCAATTAATTAGGACACCACTACTGTTCCTTTCAGGTGTAAATTAAACAACTCAACTCTGCACTGCAATTAAATTCTGTTTAATTCTCCTAAATGTCTCTCATCCACACCAACACTGACAGGCGTAACCACCCCCACACGCCACTCCGCCCCCACCTGCAGAGCTGGTTTCCCAGGGATAACTCCACCAATTCAGCACCAACCCCATATCCCACACTGGTAGGGGACCTAGCAACGCAAAGGTTGAGTCCTGTTAGTCACCCACATTGCAGGAGAGGGCTTTACTCTCAGGCCAGAGTTGGGACAAGAATAAGGTTGTTTCTCCTTTTGGGAAAAAAGAACTTGATTCACTCTGGGAAGGACAGTTAGCTATGAGGACATCTGCAATAGTCTGCCTCCTTACCAAATGCCACCAATCCTTCAGAGAAAAGTTTGGGGTCCTTCCCTCCCTCCTCCACAGCCCACAAATTTCCCCATTCTTTGAGCTCTAAGCCTCTTTAGGTCCTAACTATTTCTTCTTGAGATAGCTCCAATAAAGAAATACCACCTCAGATTTATAAAAGTCGTGATTTATTTGGAATAGTTGTGTGTAACAAATTGAGTAATTTAGCACACAAAATGCAAAATAATATAATTATATTGTTTCAGTTCCAAGATAATTATAGGATTCATAAAATTTATTCATTCATGGTGGACCCAAGGCAGTCTGGTGATGGTGCACATGTTGAAAGGTAGAGAATGAACTTCATTCTGTCCCATTCTTGTCTCTCTGTGGCCTTACCATGTAAGTTCATTTGATGAAAATCAAAGTTGAAAATCCCTCCATGAATGTGCCGTCTTTTGCCTACTTGGCAAAACGCCAATTAGGTCTTTTGTCCCCAGATCACAGGCCCCATTGGGAAGCCTTGTTTGGACACCTAACAGTTACTTCTCAATCTTGCCCTTGTCTGGGACTCCACCAATGGTCACACATCACATTGTGGCCGTCCATTTTCTGTGAACAACTATCTCGGGTTTGGGAAATGTCCTTCCTTAGAAATTCCAAGGGAATTTCTTTCTTTAGGACTTGCATCTCTCCATAGTATTAACAGAAGAAAGGACTAGTTTTCCCAAGTAACTTGCAGCCAGGTTCCAGGTCTAAGACCAAGGTTTCCTCAATTTAAATGAACCCAAGTGAAGAGACTGGGCAAGAGAACCATGTGAGAAAGACAGATAATACAGATTCGATGTCTTAGAAATGGCGGGGGGTTGGCATCAGTGCTAGAGATTCTGGTATCATGGGCACTGTCTATACTGGCAGAGAACACAAAATAGAGAAGCAACAAGAACTTAGGTGCTTTCCACATAACACCACTTAAAAAACAGTCTTGCCAAGAATTCAACTTTGGACTTGGGTCAAGTGTCTGAATCTAACTACATATTTACAGGAAATGCAAGGACAGTGAGACAGATTAAAGGACTTTTGAGGGATGCAACCAGCAAAATGTAAATAAAGAACTGCAGGACACACAACCTGATTTCTTCAATAAATAAATTGTACAATAAAGAGCCGTAAAGGGAGGGCACCTACAGTCTGAAAGAGACTTAGAAACATCAATTAATCATTCTATGTGGGGCTTCCCCGGTGGTGCGGTGGGTTGAGTGCATCGCTGTGAAGCTGTCTGCAACCTCTTGCAGTGCCAGTTCGATTCCTTGCCAGCCAGGGAGATTCCCATATGGCACGGCAGGCCTCTCCTGTCTCGCCCGCTGCTCCCCTCAGCAGTGTATTTCAGTCAATCTGCTTGTTCTGTTCCCCACTCTGTTTCTGGTGAATCCTCTCAACCTCCTGCGCCTCTGGCCTATACCCCAGCTCTTGTATAAATAAAGAAATCTTTTTTAAAAAAAATTTATTCTTTAAGGGAAAAAAAAATCCTATGTGACCTTTATTTAAACTCTAATTTAAAAAAAGTCTATTTGAACAAAGTGGACTTAAAACAAACAAAAAATTATAGGAGATAATTGTGAAAATCTGTACACTGACAATATCTAATGACATTACGAGATATACTATAACATTCAATGAATAATAATGGCATCATGGTTATATATTTTAAGAGTTCTTATCTTTTAGAGATACACACTGAAATATTTATGATCAAAGGCATAATGTTTGGGATTTGTTTCAGGATAATGGGGAGAGGAAAGTGGCTGGAATGGAAACAAATTAAGACGACCACGAGTTGATAAATATTGAAGCTGGGTGATGGGTATATGGAATTCATTCATTTATCCTGTCTAGGGCTTGTGCGGATGTTTGAAATAATCCCATTTTTTTTAAAAACTAGTTAAAAATAAATCAAATTTTAAATAAATACACAACCCTGCACAAAATCAAACTCCACCTGGTTTAACTATGAAACCCCTTGCAAAGCTGCTCAACGGGGTTATCCAGGCACTTTCCATTGTAGATCAAGGTGTAGAAAGCAACGCTTCAAAAAATGCCTTGAGGGGGAAGCTGCTTGGATGTGGAGACTGAGACGCTGGTGTACACTCTGGCCATCTGGGTGCCCCTCCCATCACAGACACTCTGGGAACTGTGGTGCCTGTACCACAGCTACCACACATTTCCTCTCCTACAGAGCTACCTAACCCTCCTGCCCACCGCAGCCTGATTTCTCAGCCATTAATCATCCACATGGACCACAGTGGCCATAGGGACATTGGAAAAGTATGTGGAGGATGGACCTTCCAGAACCAAGTTTAAGTTCAGGTGCTTTGAGAGTTGTGAAGTGGCCAGTGAGAAGGTGCTCCCAATCATCGAGAGAGTGCAGTGAAGGGGAGTGCATTGAAGCCACAGCAAGGCAGTGGGGAGAAGAGGAAGGGCAGTTGCAGGAAACCATGTTGAGGGACAATCCGTAGACTTACCGAATGACTAAATTTTCAGAGAGAGGAAAAGAGAAGAATCTGAATAAATGTTCCCCATGCTGTGCCAGCAGTTTATCACCTTCAGTCTTCACCATCATGTAGAAGCCATTGCCATTTTGCTCATTGCAAATCTAGTCCCCTTTCTTGCAGTAATAACACTCAGTGCCTGTGGATCAGACAGACTTAACCTCCCTTGCCTCTGCCAGTTCCAAGGTGGGGCACAACATAGGCTAGTCAACCAAATCTAGGGTCACCAGACATGGGGCAGGTACAAAACCTTGAGTTCCTGTTTAAGCTACTAGGAAAGTGATGTCCTATATGATTTAGGGATGCTAAGGAGCAGAAGCTGGAGCTACTGAGAGCTTTCACTGGAAAGAGATACACTGAAAAGAAGCCTTCAGAGAGGCAAGAGGAGAAGAGCTGCCTGATCAAGCTCTGCCTGATAACAGTCCTAAAAGTCCTGGACTTTTATGGCCAATGAAGCCCTTTATTTTCTAACTAGTAAGAGTTGGAGTTCAGTTACTTGTAACTAAAACAGCTCTAATATAACAATCTGTGAGATTAAAATTAACACATTCAATCTCCTCATTAAAAATATGAAGCAGGGCCTCCCTGGTGGTGCAAAGAGTTAAGGACAGCACTATGAACCTATTCACAGGCACTGCAGCATAAGTTTGATCCCCTGCCGGCCAGGGGGCAACACACATGACACAGCAGACCTCTCCTGTCTCACCTGCTGCTCCCCTCAGCAGTGTATTTCAGTCAGTCTGCCTGTTCGGTTCCCCACTCTGTCTCTGGTGAATCCTCTGACCACCCCCCACTCCCACCCACCTCTGGCCTGTACCGCAATTCTTGTATGCATAAATAAATAAATCTTTTAAAAAATATGAATCTCTGATAAGCTAGTCAAATTTCTTAGACTATGTGTCAAAATAGGATATTTGTACCACTAACATCTTTCTTTCCTTGCTTACATTTTATGGAATAAGGAGAAATTTTTGTGAGCCAACCAAACCCCCCACCCTCTCCCTGCGCATGAGCACGCACGCGCACACACACACACACACACACACCCTCAAACAGAGATCCTGGACCCTGGGGGAAGAGACCAGAGTAATAGTAAGAATAAATGGATGAAGATGGAAGAGAGGAAGGATGGAGACCTAATGGAAAAACGAGCTATGATGGTTATTAAATATTTTGGCAAAATTTTCTACACTCTCCCTTGAAAAGGTGGAGCTTAATTTCTCTCCCATTGAACATGGACCAGGGCAGAATAGGTCACAGCAGAACACAACTTCCCCATTTTTCTCTTCCTAGGACTCTATCGAGGGAAGTAGCCGCCAAGTCCTGAGGACACTGGAGAGGCCCACATGGTTAGCAACTGTGACCTCACAACAACAACCTACAAGTCACTTGGAGCTAAACTATCCTCAAATTCCTGACCCATAGAAACTATAGGAAAATGTATTTGCATGTTGTTTAAGCCATTAAGTTGTGGGCTAATTTATTCTCTGTTATGAGAATAAATGACTAATACAGGAACTCTCCTCATTTGGTGTTTAATACA